CGAAAAAAAATTTTTTTTTTTTAAATATTATTGATCCATTTTTATGTAGTCAAAAGCTGCATAGAAATAACTTTTTTTTAATTTTCATCTACTATTGTTTAAAAAATTATTATAAACAAATGCGTTGTTTATAGGATAATTGAAATTTTTTTTTTATGGAATTTTTATCTTTGAAACAAATAATGATTTAAAAAAAAAAAATTATTACCTAAAATAATTTTTTTATTGCTTAAAAACGCATTTGTTCATTACGTTCAACGCTTAAATTATTTTTATTTAAAATTATTATAAATGATAAAAATGAACAATTATAATTAAGTTTTTCTTGGTTTTTATTTTTTTTTCAATTTATATTTAAAATTTTTCAATCGCTTTAAAATATGAGATATTCAAATATTTTTAAAAATTTAGATCATTTATAATTTGAATTCTCGAGAAACACAGAAAAAAATAGAAGTTAGCAGTCGATATAGAAGAATGTTTCAAAATTGGTAAAAAATTTTTTCTGTTCGGTCTTTCGGATTGAATCGAATTGAAACGAATAGAAAAACTGGTGTTTCACAAGTTGGATTGAATCGAATACAGTTGAATAGGAGGTTCTATTCGATTCTATTCGATCCCGATTGTTGGGATTGTAAACTTTTTTATTTGTTTTCTGAGATTGTCCATAACTTTAATTATTTTTTATTACAAAAATTAATTATCAGCTGGTTGTTAAAATTATCTAAATATTATAGGTTATGTTTTGGTTTATGCCTTTGTTATGTTTTGGTTATGTTTTGGTTTATGCCTTTCACAAAACTATCACCGATTCATAGTGTGACACCTAGCGGGCGCGTTGACGTTTTTTTTTTGTAGTTTAAATAATTAACTTGTATGACAGGTGTCGCTTATTATTTATTATTATTTAAAATATTTTCTATGACAGATTATGATCGAAATTTCTCTTTTATAATAAAAATAATAAAAATTAACTTTGTCGACGACTAAAAATTTTTCTAAATTTTTTTATTAAAATAATTATTGCAAAGAAATAAAAAAAAATTTTCATTTGTAAAATTGAATAGCATTATTTACGACACGTAAGGTCCCATATAGCAAACTTTTTCAAGGCTTGAGCAAATCTGGTCTCAATTTCGATAGTTGTTAGTGTCTTTTTCTACCTATGGGTCTTGCTCCAGATACTTGTAGCAAATTCAATTCACAAGCCTTGTACAAGAACTTTGGGCCAGATTATAGCTCAAGTCTTGAAAAAGACTGACACTAGAAGCATGCTAAATATACTTGTGCAAGAGTTGCTCAAGATTTGCTCAAGATGAAATGTTTTTGAATGACCGTTCGCATCATTCTACCCCTCCTATATTTACTATAGAACCAGTGGATTTCTGAGAATTACGGATCTTGAGCAAGTCATGGGTAAGTCTTTGTTGTGAGTTTCTGATAAAAAAAATGCGTAAGAAAGTTTTTCAATGTACCTTGCTTTAGACTTGTCTCATATTCTTGCACAAGATGTCTTGAGCTAGTTACATATAAATCTTGAACCATGTCTTTTTAAATAAACTTGAGCAAGACCCATATGTAGAAAAAGACACTAGCAACTAGGGGTTTTGCTCAAGACGCTGGCACCAAAATCTTGCTCAAGCACATGTTACTTGGGGTATTCTGGTTTGTAACTTTTTAAAAAAAATATTTTTCTTCTTTTAATTTATCGAACGCAAATATATTTCTAAAAGTTGTATTGTGTGTTAAATTTTTTAAGTTATCGGACCAATGAAACTTAAGTTAGCAGATATTCAACAATTTTTGATTTTTTGAATCACTAAAAAATATGAAGAAAAAAGTATTTTTAAAAAATAGCACACAAGCTATTCAAATTTTCTAAAAGTAAAATTTTTTTTTGATTTTATTTCAATAATTTTTTCAATAAAAAACTTTATAGAAATTTTCAGATGTCTGCCAATTTAATTTTTATTTATTATTACTATTAAATTATTTTTCGAATTTCTTTTTATGCATTTAAAACAATTTATCTAGATTAAAATAATTTTCCCGGAAAAAATATTTTTCATAAATTTTGTGAAATTTCATAAAGTTAAAAAAATAACTTGGTTAATTTTCATATGAATTACATAAAATTCACAAAATTTTATGAAATTATTATTCTCGAAAAGAAAGAAGTGATTTATCAAATTAAATATATTTCCTGATTCAGAAAGATGATTTGAAATGATGACCTTCATGTTAATTGTATATTAGTATTCTATATAATATTCTAATCAGATGCTATTAAATAATTTGAAATAATTTCAAATTAGATTTCTTGATCAGGGACTTTACAAAAATTTACAGAATTTTCATGCAAGTTATTATGGTTATAATTATTTTAATGATAAAATATTCAAAAATTATTTTTAAAAAATTTTTTCTCATTAAAATTAAACAATAAAATTAATAATGATAAAAATTCAATATTAAAATAACAAATAAAAAAAGATTCTTTTATAAGACATTTATTTCATTATTAAAAAAGTATCAGATTCAATTAGTAAAAATTAAAAACTATTACAAACATATAAATATTGAAAGTTCGAATGAAAATTTATAAATTTACTGAAAAGAAACCAATGATAAATTAAATTATATGACCAATAAAAAAAACTTATCTTCCGTTTACTCAATTTCTACCAATTTACTCAATTCAATGTTACTAAAATAAAAAAACATTTCATGAATAAAAGTAGCAGGAAGATATCTAGAATAAATTTTATAGAGAACATTTTCAACTTGCTTGAATAATTTTCTTCGCTGACCAGCTTTCTCCAAGCGATACTTAATCATTCCTGCGTACAGAGAAAACTTGGCCGCCATTTTGTCGTCAAGCTTATCTTCATCTCCATCCTTGAACCTCAGCGCCAATTTGTGATAAGATCTGTGCAGTATATCAAACAAGGAAAATCCAGCCATTATTCCATAAGTATTCTTCATGACTTCAACTTCTGTATCACATTCAACTCTAAATTTACTCAATTTACTTTCTGAAACAGCTTCTTCCTATCGCAGACGTAAAAGCCAGCCGCTATCAGCTCAACAATATGCTTCTTCATAATCTCAAAGCACATTTCTTTATCTTCATAGCTATCAATCGGTAATCTACCATGTTTGCTCACAACATTGACATCACAACCAGCATCCAGAAGATCTTGAAGACTAGACTCAGGAACATCAATGTCAGTCCAAATCGTTGAAAAATGAAGACAAGATCTCATGTCTTCAGTCAAAGAATTTATTTCTATAAAAGGTTGACTTAGCAACAACCTGCGACTTGCTGAGTTATTGCTTTCAATAGCTGCTTTCATCAGAGGAGTTATACCATACTCGTCTCCAGCATTAATACCAGCGCCATGTTTGATCAGCAATTTCATCATTTCTACGTTATTTGACGTAGCAGCGATACCCATCGGCGAATCGCCTCCGTCATTGTCATATCTTCCGTGAACATCGGCGCCCTGGCTGATGAGAAATTCAGTGATCTTATATGCATTCAGATTGACAGCGAATTCTAGAGGTGTATAATCAATATGATAGATATGAGGATCACCTTCATCATTATGCCTACTACTCTTTTTCTCATGTGTATCATCTACACAAATAATCTGATTGACATCAGCACCAGCTGTCACTAATTTCTTTACGTACTTCAAGCGGTTCAACCTTATCGCCGATAAAATTACCGCTGCCAAATGTTCTGTCTCCAGCTTGGTGTCAGCATTGTTCTCCAGCAGGAGGACGTCTATAAATTCATCGTCGTCTTCATAAAGAGCCAAGTGAAGAATAGTATATTCGAAGAAATTTTTTTCGGAGCTGCTAATACAAAAAATTTTAACGGACATACCTATAACATTCATTCACCGTCATCTGAAAATTGCTGGTATGTATTTGGTTTTTTTTTTCTTTTCTTTATGTTGAAATTTTGCTAACTACTAATTCTTTATATGCTCTTAGATACATCAAATGCAACCAGCGTTGAAATAAAAAAAGTCCTGGTTACAGATGTCGAGGTTCTGCTCGCTTAATCAAGCATCCTGACAATTCAGAAACTATTATTCCCTTAAAAGAGCATAAGCAGTCTTGTCCAAAGCAGGAGAATTTGTTAGAAGTTCATGCTCTTAAGGTCGATTTAAAGGTCCGTGCTAAAGCAATGCCATTAGCTGGTCAATTATCTAATGAATACGACAATTTAATCGAGAAGTAAGTATTCTTTACCTTGTTAATTATTATTTTGTTTTATACATACATATATAAACTTTTGAACCATATGTATTTTCTGACTCAGCTCGTCGAGTTAATTCGGAATATAGCAAAATTTTTCAAAAGTTTCGTCATGAGGACCATTGCAATAATTAGATTTCTATGAAATCTACTAATAATAGCCAGTGAATCCAAATAACTATTATTATTAATTGTAATCATTTCATTTTATAGACATCCTGTGGCAGCTCAAGAAATTCCTTATAAAACAGTGAGAAGTCAAATGGGTCATGATTTTCGGGGAAATCAGCCACATAACCCAGTAAGCTTTTTAGCTTTTACCGAGTTTGTGACTTCTCCTAGAGGGAGAGAGTATTTAAAATATACTCTCGCAAATGAGCAAGGTGCCAAGGTTTCCTACCAAATGATGACTCTAAATTTTGGAGATACTTTTAATCAATGCTTAGCATTTTACAATGTTGAATATCTCAATTACTTCGATGGCTCTCAAATAAATATCGACGGGACTTTTCGGTTTAAGCCTAAGTTCAAGCGTCAGCACCTCCAGCCGTATCAACATCTCATTATTTCAAGTGATATTAATGGGAAGGTAAGTACACTTTGTAACTTTCCGCTAAGAAAATTAAAAATTTTTTTTGTTTCGATTTGATAAGCTAAAAAAATTGGAGAATGATTGAAAATATTTTGTATTGATCAGTTTGATTTTTTATTTAACTAGATTTTTCCTGCCATTTATGTTCTGATCCCTAACAAAAAAGAAGCCACGTATAAAAGTGTACTTACGGAGGTGAAAAATTCAATTATACCGAACTGGCAACCAAAATTTGTAATTTCAGATTGGGAAACTGGATTACGGAATGCGGTCCAGGAATTATATCCCGATACTTCATTGGTTGGATGCTTTTTTCACTACACTTAGGTAAGTCATTATATTATATTAATTAATTATTTCTTTACTATACAGAAAAAAAAGTTCACTTGAGCCAAGAAAATATTTTTCTTCGTAACTATTTTCTTGAGTGAAAAAAAAAATTTTTTTTGACACAAAAAATTTCAATTATTTCAGCAAAATTAATTCGCTTGCTTTAAGAAATATGTATCTTGATCCAAGAAAATTTATTTAAGTTAAGAAAATCTCGTTGTTTTGAGAAAATTCAGCTTGTTGCTCCAAAAAATTTAGTTCATAATATAAGTAAATTTTTTTGTCTTGAGAAAATTTCTCTCCTACTCCAAAAAAATTATATATAACGATAGAAGTAAAATTCCATTAATATTTTTATTGATTAACATGTCAAATGAGAAGATCAAATAATATTTAATCTTTTTTTTTCATTCAATATGTTTAATTGCACGCTAAAATAATATAAAATTGGTATCAAATATTCAAGAGAAAAATTTTCTCAAGGTAAGAAAGTTTTTTCTCTGCTGAAGTAGGTGGTGCTTTCCTAAAGTATCTAAAAATCTTAATCAAATATAAAAATTTATTGTATCAAGTATTTATGATAATTTGAATTAAGAAAAAAATTACTTTCACCTAGAATATAATTTCAAGAAAAATTTTTACTTCGGCCAACACAACTTCGGTTTTCTTTCAGGCACCCGAAAATTTTCTTGAGTCAAGAACTTTGTTCTCCAATCAAGAAACTTTTCTTTCTGTGTAATTGTTCGACTTTACCTTTGTACTCGCTTATTAACAAGCATTTTTTGTATTATAATAACCCTTTTCTATTATATTTTCTCTTATCTATGCATGTGTTTTATTATTCTAAGGCAATTGAGAAGAACTGGAAGATGCATGGCCTTACACCTCTATCCAAATCCTCTTTCAAGGCTCGGTGCTTAAAAAAATTGATAATGGCTCTTCCTTTAGCTTCTGCAGAAGACATACCAACTTTGTTCCTTATTATTGTGCTCCTTATCCCACCACCTATGTTCTTAAAATTAAATGATTTTATGGCTTATGTTTTTAAGCAATAATGGGCTAGCAATAATAGGACCAGAAAATCTCTCAGTTGCGGGTAAGGATTCTTTACGAACCAATAATCCCTCAGAATCGATAAACAAGTCAATCAATAAGTTATTGGGATTAAAAAAAAAATTGTCGCCGATTTTTTTTACTCGTAAGTACTGATTTTATAAGTGAATAACCTATTTATTAAAAAAAACCTATCATATAATTACGGTTATTTACAATTTAGGGTAGTCCTAAAATTAAGTCCTATTCCGCAGTAGCAAAATAACTTTACTAGTTATATTAATTATTGAATTTTATTAATTTTAAAAAATTAACCGTAGATACACTGGGCAATTTAGAGCATTCACAATGCCCAGAATTTAAAAATCTTAATAAATTTAATACACTGGGTAATTTGGAGCATTCAAATTGCCCAGAATTTAAAAATCTAAATAAAATTAATACACTGGGTAATTTGGAGCATTCAAATTGCCCAGAATTTGAAATCCTTAATAAATTTAAGACACTGGGTAATTTGGAGCATTCAAACTGCCCAGAATTTAAAAATCTTAATAAATTTAAGACACTGGGTAATTTGGAGCATTCAAACTGCCCAGAATTTAAAAATCTTAATAAATTTAAGACACTGGGTAATTTGGAGCATTCAAACTGCCCAGAATTTAAAAATCTTAATAAATTTAAGACACTGGGTAATTTGGAGCATTCAAACTGCCCAGAATTTAAAAATCTTAATAAATTTAAGACACTGGGTAATTTGGAGCATTCAAACTGCCCAGAATTTAAAAATCTTAATAAATTTAAGACACTGGGTAATTTGGAGCATTCAAACTGCCCAGAATTTAAAAATCTTAATAAATTTAAGACACTGGGTAATTTGGAGCATTCAAACTGCCCAGAATTTAAAAATCTTAATAAATTTAAGACACTGGGTAATTTGGAGCATTCAAACTGCCCAGAATTTAAAAATCTTAATAAATTTAAGACACTGGGTAATTTGGAGCATTCAAACTGCCCAGAATTTAAAAATCTTAATAAATTTAAGACACTGGGTAATTTGGAGCATTCAAACTGCCCAGAATTTAAAAATCTTAATAAATTTAAGACACTGGGTAATTTGGAGCATTCAAACTGCCCAGAATTTAAAAATCTTAATAAATTTAAGACACTGGGTAATTTGGAGCATTCAAACTGCCCAGAATTTAAAAATCTTAATAAATTTAAGACACTGGGTAATTTGGAGCATTCAAACTGCCCAGAATTTAAAAATCTTAATAAATTTAAGACACTGGGTAATTTGGAGCATTCAAACTGCCCAGAATTTAAAAATCTTAATAAATTTAAGACACTGGGTAATTTGGAGCATTCAAACTGCCCAGAATTTAAAAATCTTAATAAATTTAAGACACTGGGTAATTTGGAGCATTCAAACTGCCCAGAATTTAAAAATCTTAATAAATTTAAGACACTGGGTAATTTGGAGCATTCAAACTGCCCAGAATTTAAAAATCTTAATAAATTTAAGACACTGGGTAATTTGGAGCATTCAAACTGCCCAGAATTTAAAAATCTTAATAAATTTAAGACACTGGGTAATTTGGAGCATTCAAACTGCCCAGAATTTAAAAATCTTAATAAATTTAAGACACTGGGTAATTTGGAGCATTCAAACTGCCCAGAATTTAAAAATCTTAATAAATTTAAGACACTGGGTAATTTGGAGCATTCAAACTGCCCAGAATTTAAAAATCTTAATAAATTTAAGACACTGGGTAATTTGGAGCATTCAAACTGCCCAGAATTTAAAAATCTTAATAAATTTAAGACACTGGGTAATTTGGAGCATTCAAACTGCCCAGAATTTAAAAATCTTAATAAATTTAAGACACTGGGTAATTTGGAGCATTCAAACTGCCCAGAATTTAAAAATCTTAATAAATTTAAGACACTGGGTAATTTGGAGCATTCAAACTGCCCAGAATTTAAAAATCTTAATAAATTTAAGACACTGGGTAATTTGGAGCATTCAAACTGCCCAGAATTTAAAAATCTTAATAAATTTAAGACACTGGGTAATTTGGAGCATTCAAACTGCCCAGAATTTAAAAATCTTAATAAATTTAAGACACTGGGTAATTTGGAGCATTCAAACTGCCCAGAATTTAAAAATCTTAATAAATTTAAGACACTGGGTAATTTGGAGCATTCAAACTGCCCAGAATTTAAAAATCTTAATAAATTTAAGACACTGGGTAATTTGGAGCATTCAAACTGCCCAGAATTTAAAAATCTTAATAAATTTAAGACACTGGGTAATTTGGAGCATTCAAACTGCCCAGAATTTAAAAATCTTAATAAATTTAAGACACTGGGTAATTTGGAGCATTCAAACTGCCCAGAATTTAAAAATCTTAATAAATTTAAGACACTGGGTAATTTGGAGCATTCAAACTGCCCAGAATTTAAAAATCTTAATAAATTTAAGACACTGGGTAATTTGGAGCATTCAAACTGCCCAGAATTTAAAAATCTTAATAAATTTAAGACACTGGGTAATTTGGAGCATTCAAACTGCCCAGAATTTAAAAATCTTAATAAATTTAAGACACTGGGTAATTTGGAGCATTCAAACTGCCCAGAATTTAAAAATCTTAATAAATTTAAGACACTGGGTAATTTGGAGCATTCAAACTGCCCAGAATTTAAAAATCTTAATAAATTTAAGACACTGGGTAATTTGGAGCATTCAAACTGCCCAGAATTTAAAAATCTTAATAAATTTAAGACACTGGGTAATTTGGAGCATTCAAACTGCCCAGAATTTAAAAATCTTAATAAATTTAAGACACTGGGTAATTTGGAGCATTCAAACTGCCCAGAATTTAAAAATCTTAATAAATTTAAGACACTGGGTAATTTGGAGCATTCAAACTGCCCAGAATTTAAAAATCTTAATAAATTTAAGACACTGGGTAATTTGGAGCATTCAAACTGCCCAGAATTTAAAAATCTTAATAAATTTAAGACACTGGGTAATTTGGAGCATTCAAACTGCCCAGAATTTAAAAATCTTAATAAATTTAAGACACTGGGTAATTTGGAGCATTCAAACTGCCCAGAATTTAAAAATCTTAATAAATTTAAGACACTGGGTAATTTGGAGCATTCAAACTGCCCAGAATTTAAAAATCTTAATAAATTTAAGACACTGGGTAATTTGGAGCATTCAAACTGCCCAGAATTTAAAAATCTTAATAAATTTAAGACACTGGGTAATTTGGAGCATTCAAACTGCCCAGAATTTAAAAATCTTAATAAATTTAAGACACTGGGTAATTTGGAGCATTCAAACTGCCCAGAATTTAAAAATCTTAATAAATTTAAGACACTGGGTAATTTGGAGCATTCAAACTGCCCAGAATTTAAAAATCTTAATAAATTTAAGACACTGGGTAATTTGGAGCATTCAAACTGCCCAGAATTTAAAAATCTTAATAAATTTAAGACACTGGGTAATTTGGAGCATTCAAACTGCCCAGAATTTAAAAATCTTAATAAATTTAAGACACTGGGTAATTTGGAGCATTCAAACTGCCCAGAATTTAAAAATCTTAATAAATTTAAGACACTGGGTAATTTGGAGCATTCAAACTGCCCAGAATTTAAAAATCTTAATAAATTTAAGACACTGGGTAATTTGGAGCATTCAAACTGCCCAGAATTTAAAAATCTTAATAAATTTAAGACACTGGGTAATTTGGAGCATTCAAACTGCCCAGAATTTAAAAATCTTAATAAATTTAAGACACTGGGTAATTTGGAGCATTCAAACTGCCCAGAATTTAAAAATCTTAATAAATTTAAGACACTGGGTAATTTGGAGCATTCAAACTGCCCAGAATTTAAAAATCTTAATAAATTTAAGACACTGGGTAATTTGGAGCATTCAAACTGCCCAGAATTTAAAAATCTTAATAAATTTAAGACACTGGGTAATTTGGAGCATTCAAACTGCCCAGAATTTAAAAATCTTAATAAATTTAAGACACTGGGTAATTTGGAGCATTCAAACTGCCCAGAATTTAAAAATCTTAATAAATTTAAGACACTGGGTAATTTGGAGCATTCAAACTGCCCAGAATTTAAAAATCTTAATAAATTTAAGACACTGGGTAATTTGGAGCATTCAAACTGCCCAGAATTTAAAAATCTTAATAAATTTAAGACACTGGGTAATTTGGAGCATTCAAACTGCCCAGAATTTAAAAATCTTAATAAATTTAAGACACTGGGTAATTTGGAGCATTCAAACTGCCCAGAATTTAAAAATCTTAATAAATTTAAGACACTGGGTAATTTGGAGCATTCAAACTGCCCAGAATTTAAAAATCTTAATAAATTTAAGACACTGGGTAATTTGGAGCATTCAAACTGCCCAGAATTTAAAAATCTTAATAAATTTAAGACACTGGGTAATTTGGAGCATTCAAACTGCCCAGAATTTAAAAATCTTAATAAATTTAAGACACTGGGTAATTTGGAGCATTCAAACTGCCCAGAATTTAAAAATCTTAATAAATTTAAGACACTGGGTAATTTGGAGCATTCAAACTGCCCAGAATTTAAAAATCTTAATAAATTTAAGACACTGGGTAATTTGGAGCATTCAAACTGCCCAGAATTTAAAAATCTTAATAAATTTAAGACACTGGGTAATTTGGAGCATTCAAACTGCCCAGAATTTAAAAATCTTAATAAATTTAAGACACTGGGTAATTTGGAGCATTCAAACTGCCCAGAATTTAAAAATCTTAATAAATTTAAGACACTGGGTAATTTGGAGCATTCAAACTGCCCAGAATTTAAAAATCTTAATAAATTTAAGACACTGGGTAATTTGGAGCATTCAAACTGCCCAGAATTTAAAAATCTTAATAAATTTAAGACACTGGGTAATTTGGAGCATTCAAACTGCCCAGAATTTAAAAATCTTAATAAATTTAAGACACTGGGTAATTTGGAGCATTCAAACTGCCCAGAATTTAAAAATCTTAATAAATTTAAGACACTGGGTAATTTGGAGCATTCAAACTGCCCAGAATTTAAAAATCTTAATAAATTTAAGACACTGGGTAATTTGGAGCATTCAAACTGCCCAGAATTTAAAAATCTTAATAAATTTAAGACACTGGGTAATTTGGAGCATTCAAACTGCCCAGAATTTAAAAATCTTAATAAATTTAAGACACTGGGTAATTTGGAGCATTCAAACTGCCCAGAATTTAAAAATCTTAATAAATTTAAGACACTGGGTAATTTGGAGCATTCAAACTGCCCAGAATTTAAAAATCTTAATAAATTTAAGACACTGGGTAATTTGGAGCATTCAAACTCTTGATCAGATCTGATCAGGTCTGAGCGTATTTAATGCTTCAGACATGAACAGACATAAGCAGGCATGAACAGGCTTGATCAGGTCTGATCAGGCCTGAGCGTATTTAATGCTTCAGACATGAACAGGCATGGACAGGCTTGATCAGATCTGATCAGGTCTGAGCGTATTTAATGCTTCAGACATGAACAGGCATGAACAAACATGGACAGGTCTGATCAGGCCTAATTTCAGGCCTGATCATACTTGAACAGGCCTGATCAGGTCGGATTTCAGGTCTGATCAGTCCTGAACATTTTTTCCCGGGAAGTGAGTAACCGACAATTTGACGTGCACGTGGCAATAGCAAGTAAGGCCCTTGATAGACTGTACTATATATACTAGACGACTAGTAGAGTGTAAGCATGCGCACAGTGCACACTTACGACAACGTAGGCATTGCCAAATATCCAACACCCCCTCTCAATGTCTACGTGAAGTGGCTTATATCAGTCCCAAGGTCTCACAATTAAGAGAATGTTTGATGGCCTTCAATGACTTAGTGAAGATGTCGGCTAACATCTCGTCGCTGGGTACATGCTCCAATCGCAGGGTACCGTCTAATATCTTTTCCCTGATAAAGTGATGACGAATGTCTATATGTTTCGTCCTTGAGTGCTGAGTCGGGTTCTCTGCTATCGCTATAGCGCTCTTACTATCACTGAAGATAGTACCATCCGTCGCTCCACAGGCTCCCAGTTCCTCCAGGAATCTGTTTAGGAATATGGACTCCTTGGCCGCTTCAGTCAGCGCCATGTATTCAGCTTCAGCCGTCGACAAAGCAACAGTCTTTTGCTTTCTGGCCTGCCAGCTGATTGCAGCTCCGCCCAATAAAAATACGTATCCCGTGTAGGATCGTCGATCTGTGGTGCTACCAGCCCAGTTGGAATCTGCGTAGCCTTTCAATTTATCTATTGGTCGTCGAAAATGTAAGGAATATTCTGGAGTTCCTTTTAGGTATCTTAATACCTTCTTCGCCGCTCCCCAATGATGATCACTTGGCTTATCATTGAACTGAGCCAACACACTTACAGTGTGTGCGATGTCCGGTCTTGTGCCGACCGCTAGGTACATCAATGACCCAACCAGTTCTCGATAAGGATATTTCTTGGTCATTTTTCCTGGGTTCGTATTTCCTTCCAGTTTCGCATCTGGGCTTGCTGGTGTATCTATAGCGTTACAGCTGTCCATCTGAAATTTGCATAATATTTCATGGATATATCTTTTCTGACACAGCTTTATTCCATCCTTTTGGTCTATCTCTATGCCTAGACAATGTCTGGCTTCGCCGAGATCTGTTAATTTTAACTCTTTATTTAATTTATTCTTTACGACGTTTAACAAGTCGTCGTTGTTAGTTATTGCTAGCATGTCGTCGACGTAAACGGCGATTATGACTATGCTTCCTTAATGAATCATCTTGAAAACGCATGGGTCCGACGTTAGTGGTTGGAATCCCAATTTCTTCAATATGCCTTGTAGATGGTTATACCACCTTTTGCCTGACTGTTTTAGTCCGTATATCGCTTTTCTTAATCTGCATACTTGGTTTTCTTGCCTCAATGCCTCCTGCATTTTTAATGCTGCTTTTTGCATCTCTGAATCACGTCTTTTACGGCGTACTATTTCATCCACGGCTTGAACTAGGAATTCTGGTAATTCCATGTATAGTTCTTCTTCGACGTCGCTATTTAGGTATGCTGTTTTTACGTCCCATTGTTGGACTTTTGCTTCCAATTTGACGGCTATCGCCATCAATAATCTGACGGATTCTAGTCTGGCAACCGGCGCAAACGTGTCGTGATAATCAAATCCTGGTCGTTGCGTAAAGCCTCTCGCAACTATGCGTGCTTTTCTTCGTTTGACGTTACCGTCCGTATCGAGCTTGTTTTTCAGCACTGTTCTTGTTCCAATGACGTTTTTGTCCGCTGGTCTGGGCACGATTTCCCAGGTTCCATGCTCTAAATGTGATTTAATTTCCTCAGTGATGGCTTTCATCCACTGGTCAGCATCTGCTCCGTTTAAAGCGTCGTTTATTTGCACATCCGTATTAAGTGCCATCTGCTCGACGATATTTATCATCTCATCGTCGCTCTCCTCCTGGCTGTCTGAGCTTTTTGGCCCTCTAGGTCTCTTTTCTACCTGTATCAAAAACGAGTCCAGTGGTCTCTTCTGATCTCGGGTAATGTCATCATCGAATACGTTGTCTTCGATGTCATCGTCTCTTGGTTTTTGTGGTCCGACGGTGGATGAACTATCAGTCCGGAATACTTTCTGCGGTCTACCGCGACTCCCTGATCTTGCTAGTCTGGGTTTTCCTCGGTCTTTTGGGTATTATGATCGCCGCATCTGCTTTCTCTTCTATTTCCCCCTCTTCGTCGTCTTTCTCCTCGCCGAATGGGGTCAAATCAACCTCTACATAGGTCTCGACCTCAGGTGCTTTTTGCGTTACCTTTGTATGTGGTTTTTCAGGAACTTGGTCCTTCTCTGGTCCTTTCAGTGGGTCCACGTAGTCCTTCGCTGGCTTTAAATTTTCGTCGAAACGCACGTCGCGGGTTATCGACACCTTTCCGCTGTCCAGACGTACCCTGTACGCCTTCGATTGTTGGTCGTAGCCGACCAAACGCCCTACGCTGGCTTTTGGGTCCAATTTGCCGCGTCCCACGCTCTTGTCTAGAACGTATGCCCTCGCGTCGAATACTCTCAGGTGTCTTAAGTCTGGTCTTTTGCCATACCAAACTTCGTATGGTGTATTTCCGCCGATACACCTACTTGGGCAGCGATTTCTTAAATAATTGGCTGTAGCCACCGTTTCTGCCCTATATGATTAAGGTAGTCCTGCCTCAATTAACATGCACCTGGCTGTGTCCAGTAGCGTTCTATTTTTTCTCTCCGCTACTCCATTTTGCTGGGGCGTATACGGCGCTGACAATCTTCTCTGGATCCCTTCGCGTTTCAAATATTCATTGAACTCGTTATTACAGTATTCACGACCATTGTCTGTCTGTAAAAATTTTATCCTTCGGCCAGTAAAAGTTTCAACTATATTTTTATATTCTTTAAATTTATCTAATACCTCACCTTTTGTTTTTAGGAAGTAGACCTCGCACCACGTGCTGTGGTCGTCGATAAACGTCACCATGTATCTGGCTCCTCCGTTTGAATTCACCCTCATGGGCCCGCAGACATCTGAATGTACAATTTCTAACGCCGATTTGCTCCTGTCGACTCTCTCCGTGTATGGTCTGGCTGACAGCTTCCCGCGGCAGCAAACGTCGCATACGTCGATTCTTCCTTTTCGTGATAAATGAATTCCGGTCGCTAGTTGCTCTTCGAACAATTTTCTTACTCCGTTTTGGTCTATATGACCCAATCTCCTGTGCCAGAGATTCAGTGGACTCTCAGCTGCTTCGTCGGACTTCGATGGTCTTACTGAGGTCTCTTTACCTGTTCGGATAACGACTTGGGCTTGCTCGCTTGTACTTTCTCGAATAAAGTAGAGATCTCCAATTCGATCCGCAACTAGGATCGTTTTACCTTTGGAATCTTTTATCGTCGCCGTTTTGTCGTCAAAAATGACTTTATTACCTTTATCTGTGATTTTTGATACCGACACTAAGTTTGTTCGTAGACTAGGCACATATAGTGTATCGTGAAAATTTGCTGACTCACGCATTCCACCACTAATGGCTATTTTAGCCACGCCTTTAATATTTGCTGTTGTTGAAGCGTCCGTCGCTAACTTCAATATTGAATCGCATGCCGTTTTACCTATTAGTAAATTCTCGTCACCACACATATGCGTTGTACACCCGCTGTCCAGGCACCACTTCAATTTAGGTTGACCTTGAACTTTGTTAGCCTCCTCTCTGGTTTGTGCTTGTACATAAAAATCCTCGGTTGTGCTCACTGACGCTCGTAATGACCTTCCGCCGCTCTTTGTACGGCAATTTTTAGCAAAATGGCCGAATTTACCACACTTGTAACATTTTCCGTGATTTTTATATTTACTATCACTCGTGCGTTGTGTGTTCGCATGCGACCTTGAGCTCGCTGCAAATGCTTTGTCGTCAACTTCTTGTGAGTCATTAGCTCTGGCTAAACTTTCATTAAGAATCTTAATCTTTAAATCCTCCGGCTTTGGTAATGTGTCTCGACTTTCGATGACGCATCGGAAATTCTCGAAACTTGGCGGTAGTCCATGTAACATCATCGTTGTTAACAATTCTTCGTTGATTTCGATGTCCATGGCAGCTAATTTATCCACGACGTCGAAGAAGTCGTCTAGGTACTGTTGTACATCTCCTCCTTCGTTTAATTTCCGCATGAATAGCGACTTTAAGAGCGTCGCCTTCCTCGCCGGGCCTTTTGATGCGTAGGCTTAATTATTTAACAAATATAAATAATGCTGTGAAGCGGGAAAGAATAGGAGTTACGGATAATTATTACGTGAAGCGTTCCAACGTTCACGTAACAGGATAATTGGTAGGAAAGGATTGAGAAAGGATTGTGGAGAGGATCATCTTAATGTGAGTTTATAGAATATGCGAGAAAAAATTATTAGATAGCTCGGACTGGGATTCGAACCCAGAACCTTCCGAAGACATGTCGGCTACTCTACCATTTGAGCTATCCGGTCTATACTAAATTTCCTTTCACTTATTCTATATACATTAAGCCACACGATCTGCTCCAGCTTTTGCCACAGTTCATTCGCCGTTTTACAATTTTTAATAGTTTTTAATTCCGACGGTGCCATTGCTAAAATAATACTTGCTCTGGCCGATTGATCTGCTTCAATCCACTTTGCGACTTCATTTTCATTACCACTCACTTCATCTGTTTTCACAACACTTCCATTTGCGTACTGCCATAATTTCTTCTGAATTAACAAGGCTTCTATTTGAATCCTCCACGTATCGTAATTGTCCTTCGATAACGCCTGTATATTACTGTTCGTATTTGCC